TTGTTGCTATCTTGTTGACCCTAACCCAGAGACTCTAAACAGGCCTATCTCCAGCTTCATACTGGAGCTCTGAGCAATCAAATGGCTCTTTTACATAAAGCATGACTCCTCCTCCTCTTCTCCCCTGCATGTCTTTCCTGAACAGTTTGTAACTCCCCCAGGACAGTGCTCCAGTCATGCAAGCTCCCGCCAAGTCTGTTATTCCAATCATGTAGTAGTTCCATGACTGTGCAAGGACTTCCAGTTCTTCCTGCTTGTTTCCCAGGATCAGTACATTCATGTACAGGCACCTGAGGTAACTAGTTGATTGCCCTGATTTTTAGGAGGTATGAGAGCACCTCTCCTGTTGCCCCCTCCTGCTTGCTCTTTTTCCAGGTTTCCCAGTTCCCCACTTACCTCAGGGCTGGCTTTGGTCTCCACCCTTCAGTGAACATAGTTTAAAACCCTCCTTACTAGGTTAGTGAGCCTCAGTATGAAGATGCTCTTCCCTCTCTTCATTAGGTGGAGCCCATCTCTTCCCAGTAATCCTTCTTCTTGGAAGAATAACCCATGGTTGAAGAAGCCAAAGCCCTGCTGGCAACACCATCTGCGCAGCCAGGTGTTAATTTTCAGAATTCACAAGCTCTGTACAGGCCCTTTTCCTTGACTAGGAGGATCCACGGGAACACAAGCTGAGCCCCAGACCCCCTCATCCTTCCTCCCAGAGTTCTGTAGTTACTTCTGATATGCTCAGGGTCTCCCTTGGAAGTAGCATTGGGGCCCACATGAATGAGCAGCAGGGGGCAGTAGTCAGAGGGCCGGATGAGCCTCAGTAGTCCCTCCATGACATCTCAGATCTGGGCTCTGGGCAAGCAGCAGACCTCCCAAGACAACAGGTCAGTTTGGCAGAGGGCTCTCTCCATCTCCCGCAGAAAGGAGTCTCTAACCAACACCACCTATTGCTTCCTGGTGGTGGTTATCTCAATCCCACCCACCTTGGTGAGTTGTGGCCTGTCTTCCTCCACCAGTGGAATGTGTTCCACCCTCGCTGCTGATGGGGCTGCATATCTGTTTTCCAGATGAACAACTGCAGGTGGAGCTGAAGATCTCTGCTTGCTGCCAGAAATCACAAGCCTCTGAGAGCTTCCACCCTCTTCGGTGTGTTCATGTCCTCTCTCTCCTCTAGCGCTATGTCTGGTATTTCTTCCTCCACAGTCCCGGAGGTCTCCTCCAGCATCAAATCGATGAACACCTCATGGTGGAGGATGCTTTGGAGCCTCATCACCTCTTCCTGTAGTTTTCTTGCCTGTTCCTTGAGAGACACTACCAGGAGGCACTGCTCACACCGCAGGCATCCCCCATCTGGCCATCACTGGAAGGAACCTGCGAACTGCTGTCTTCACAGTGCCAAACTTGGACCTGGGTGGAAGTGTCAACTGCGAGTGGTCCTGCCTGGACAGAAACCTCACAGGTGCAAGTAGTGGCAGTGGCTCTGGCATTGCAACATCCTTCAGCCATTTCCCTGGGTCTCTTAATCTGCCTTCTTTCTCTCTTACTGCTCTTCTTTCAAGCAGATCTACCCTAGCAAATTCACCTGGAAGCTGTCCTGTTTATTGCTCATTAGCCCCAAAGGGTTCCTTTTTCTCCTGCTTCTCACACCAAGCTGAAAGGCTTGCCCCTTGAAAATGGGGGGGGACATGAACTGGCTTAGGAACTGGCGTGCAAACTGCCTGCAAACTGTTTACCCTGTCTGAAGTCCCTGTTCACTGGCCTCAAAAAAGTTCTGTCTTTTTAAAAAAATAAACTTCATGACAAGGAAGAAGCAATCTTCAAACCTAATAGGATGAAAAATCCCACCTTTGGTGAATAACATTATTCTTAGTTTACAGATAAAGAACAGAGAAACAAATAGATTAATGCAGTGGTTCTCAAACTTTTTAGACCTATGGCACCCTTTCATAACTTCTGTGAATTAACCAGCACCTCACTACAAAAACTAATATATTATGGTGCCTTGCAGAGGGGCTGGGAAGTGGGATCAGAGTAGTGACCCAGCAATGACCAGCCTAAGCCTGCACTTATCCCCTACCCCCTCGCACCTCCTGGCACCCTTCAAAAGATCTCGCAGTACCCCACAGTACCCTGGTTGAGAATCCCTGGAGCTTGTGCAGACCATAGTGATAGTGTGTCCTGGTCACCAAAGATGGAAATGGCTGTGCCCATCCATGTCTGAGGCACGCTTCAATTTTAGCATGCTGGTAAGCCTGTTTCAAGTTTATCTTCAGTGGCCACTCTCAAGTACATGAGAAACCAAGAGTTCAAGAACAGTCTCAAAGGGACACCCAGGGTAGTCTCACCATCAGACTTCTGGGTTTGGAGCATACCTGTAGTTGCAGCTCAGCAGAGAAAGGCATGAGTCTGTCCTAGCTGGGGCATGCCACTGGTGCAATATCACAGACATACCCTGAGTGACTTGCTGAAGAGCACACAGGAAGTCTGTGGTAGAACTAGGAATGGGGGTCCCAGTCCCAGTCCAAAACCTAAATTACACCACCATACCTTTTTTTCCTAAGTTCAACTTGAACATCCAGCAGTGAAATCTGGAAATGGACCCCTTTAGTAAAGAACTGTATTGTTAAGAATAGTGGGGTTGAGATTCTTTTAAAGAAAACCTAAAGTAAAAGAAAAATTGGCATTGTTATATGTGCAATACATATACACTCATTAATAATAATATTATAATAGCATATAATTCATAGCCTATATACACTATTATAGGAAACACAGCTAATTATTAAAAATTGGGATGTATATTAAATATTTTCTGTTGATCTATGAGCTTATACCATCATGTTCTCAGTGATTAAAAAGGATTAGTATTGATTAAGTATTAACAGACATAAAAGTGCCAAAACTGAAGATTTTAGACTAATATGCCTAAAGTGATGGCAAAATTTGAAGCCGTCTTCCTCAGTTGGCATTCAAATGTTTTTGGAACAGAAGGCTATGCCGAAGTTGCTTGTTTTGGCAAATTCAGATCCTTACCTCGCTCTCCACCTCATTTCTAGGAATTCAGCCCCTCTCATGCCTGCCAGTCTTCTGAGCTGTGTGCTGTTTTTGGAAGGTCACAATACATTTTTTCATATAACTCCTATGACATACTTTTGTAACATGCCAAAATTTTCTATGAACCTTAAGTGCCATATAAATGATGGCAAAATAAGATCCTTTACATGAATTCTGGCTGTAGATTTTGTGTGATTCATTTTTAGTCACATATTTGCACCAGCAGGTCGAAGAGCATGCCAACATTTCTATGATAATGTTATTTTAATCATTTATAAATTGCTCAAGAATTTGATCTGTGCTAAATATTAACAATTGAGTTTATAGCTCAGATACCCGTATCATTGTTAAAAAGATTAATTCTGATGGTCAACAATTAGTAATTTACAGAAGTGAAACTAATGTGTTGGTCTAACTGAATTTAATGCTTGTAAAAAATTAAAGCAGCTGAACTATTCAATTTAAAGAACTGGTACTGCTGTGCTGGAGCAATGCATTTGTTCACAGGGATTCTTATTACTCATTTTTAACACTAACAGGTACTAGCAAGTCTGATATTTTAACTCACTTTTGGGATCAAAATGGTGTACTGGCTTTCTAAGCAGGAAGCAGGGTACCTCTTACGCTTTGACAATGTGTTAGCTTTGTGAAGTCAAATGAAACTATAGAATGCAACAAAGGATTTGAGGAAAGCATGAAAAGCATATGGAGAACTAAACAGCATTTTATAATTCATTGGACTCAGTAGGATTTTCTAGAACATACTAACTTCTGCTTCCTGGTTTTGTTCCACGATTGGGACGTAAAGGCTACTTTCCTACTTGTTCTATTCCCACTTGGTCTTTCCAGTTTTAACAATGAAAATATTCTTCCCAAAAATACAGAAGATATTGCAGCAGTTAAAAGCAGGTTTGCATAGCAACAAATTCCTGGGGGGTTTTAAAACTAGTATTAACGTATCTTAGCGAACACTGAGCTATTGTCTAGATTTCAGCAAATGAAAGAGGTATTAAGAAGTTTTTTTTATACAATCATCTTCCTGGGTAAGACTTTTTTTGCTGATTTTGCTTGTTTCCCCAGACTGTGGGGCAGTATTTTGTAAGGTAATATTTTCACTCTTCAACAAAAAAAAAAGTATGGGAGAAAGGTACATGCTAAAAATGAAAGGCCTATTTCTTGCTCTAGATTACTAGGAATTTTATTTTTCTTGAGTACTCTCTCCATAGCCTTTGCTAGAATATTGCAGTGCACACTCAGAAACAACCAGGCCTAATGTTACCATGAATGTGCATTTGCCAGGATTTGCTTCAGTGACTTTATACTGTATATGAGTGAGTCTTCCAGTATATGCAAATCACTGTGGTTTTTAAATTTCTTTTAGTTTATCTTGACTAATTCATACTTGGCTGATACCATTTTACTAGGATTTAATGAGGTCTGCAGGATGTATAAAATTGGTTTATCAGGGGCTGTAGTCATAATAACAAAAACACATCTTTTGGTCCATTTCTCATGAACCTGCTGGTCTTTACACAACTGAGTTTCTGGCCAACAGCAGAATGAAGTAATTAGCAGTGTTAATCTGAAGTCCAGTAGAAGGCAGGGTAGATTTGCACCTTATAGACTAATCAGGAAAGTTTGTGCTATAGATATAGAGAGATATACATATACACAAA